CTCTCCTGGAACCTGCGCACAGCAATGCACACACACACTGACCTTTATTTTAATTTGCAATTTCATGAAGTTAGCGATTGCTGAGGGTTGGTGTCTTCGCTTCCTGACACAGCTGACATCGGGGCCCGATGATGCGTTGCCGTGGATGGCTGTCTTGTGCACTGAAGGCTGTTTAGCAGCATCCCTGGCCTCTACCCACTAGAAGCAGCATCTTCCTCCATGGTTGTGACAACCAGGAATGTCTCCAGGCACTGCCAAATGTTCCCTGAGGGGCGACCCCCCACTTCCTGTCCCATTGAGAAACGTTGCTTTAGATTATTTCTGGGGAGGGATGAGGCCCCTGAGCCCCTCGGAGCGGAGTGAGTGATTTGCCCAGTATCACAGAGTTTGGCTCGGGCAGGAACGCAGGTTTCCTGATGCCTGGCCCAGGGTTCTGTTCCAGCTGCCGCTGGTTGTTAAGGTTTCAGTAGCATTGAAATCTTATTCCCATTCAATATTTTAGTCTTCAGGTTCTTAAGCGAAAATGTTATTCTATCCAATCAAAGCTTTGGCTGAATATTAGAGTTCTCGCTGAAAGAGGATTTAATAAATCGAATCCTTGGCCAGGATGGCCACCGGGTGGATCATTCGTCTTCCCCGAATTTCCCTTTGCTCGAGGTGATTCATCTCCAAATTCTAATAGTCTGTCTTGATTTGGTCTTGATAAGGGTTGACATCTATTTTTTATTTTGTCCACCTGCTTTCGTTTGTTATGCTGCCTGACACAGCACACTGCACAGAGGCTGGTGTGGGTGCTTACCTTGGAGGAATAGATGTTTAGTGGGGTTTGGGATGCCGGCAACAAGGAGACATTGAACTCCTCTGGGACGTCCGTGATGGTTGGAATTTTGTAGTCATCTGGGCCTCGCGAGTACAGGACACCTTCCGGGGAATATTTCAGCTCTTCAGTGGTGTAAAGGCCCATGCCCTGGATAAACGCACCTTCGACCTGAAGTGGGGAAATGCCAAGCTCTGTGAGACTGTGTGCTTTTCAGAAGGCCTTTACCTACCCACCATGGCTCCCAGGAAGCAGCACCCAGCTAAGTGGACCTGGACCTACCTGCCCGATATCAATGGCTGGGTTCAGGCTGCAACACGCATCCATGACAATGTCTGTTCTGATTTTCTGCCAAAAATTAAAATGACCTCAGTGTGAAAACCTGAATTAAAAATAGTACTTAAAGATTTCTTCACTAATGGGGGGGATGAGGACACATTTGTAATACCTTAACTAATAATAATAATAATAATAATAATAATAATAAAAGATTTAATCACATGGTCCCAAATGATTCCCAGACTCCTGCTAGTTAATTAAGACTGCATTGAACTCCATCGACATTAGAGGGGGTAAGACATCTGCTAACTCTTTAGATTTAGTGCAGAGACTATCAATGGCCCCAGAAGGTCTTTTGCACTCATGGCTTTGACTCAATGAGCTGGCAAACACAAAGTTATTGTCACAGCCCTCCCCTTCTCTCCCAACCCCCATCTATTTCTTTAGAGGCAGGAGCACCTTGGGGTAACCCACTCTGAAGAAACAGTATCACATTGCTGTATGCTTTCAAAATGCTCACTCAGGACGATTTGCTAAAGTACCTATTCCTTCAGATGAGATAACTTGATCTTTCTTTAGAAACAGAACCCCCCCCCCTTTTGTTTTCCACACAACTTGGGAAAGTGATTTTGATGTCTGAATTAAAATAAGAAACAATGCATTTTAGGCTGTCATGAGCAATGCCTCCTGACTACTTCTTTCTAAAGTGCAAATTCATGATAAAGCTGGATCTCTAGACGTTCCCATGGGATTGAAAGGATCTTCTTCCTACAGTATGTATACAAGTATTACACAGAGAACTCAGGGCTGTTAATGTGCAACGCAATTTTGTTCTTGTGTTAATTCACCGAGAAGAAAGTTTTATTACCTTGTGGGCTCCTGTCAGGCAGTCGATTTCCACCTCAGAGCAGGCTGCTCCGTAGACATAGTAAGGAAACGGGTCTCCCTCCCCCTTCTCCCAGTCCATGAAGGCCTTGTAGCCCCTGATGGGAGAAATAAAGCCCTTTAGCTTGGGGTGTGCATGTGTGTGCATGTCTGTGTGCGTGTGTGTGCAAGCAATGTTGATTCATTTAAAAAGTTACTAAAGTTATGATAGCATTTAATTTGACTGCTGTTTATTTCAACTGCCCTTTTCCACTCATTTAAACTGCAGCCTGAATTCACAACCTCGCTGGTTGTGGCAACACGAATCTTCGCCTCCACTCTAAAGAGGATTTCCGTGCTGCAGTCAGGAGGTCAGAAACGGAGAGGAGCCAACGGACCATTTTGGTTCGGCTCTCCAGGTCTGTATTTTGATGGCTTAGGCTTGTGGTTTAGCTCTGCACATTGAGAACTTCAGCTGATTTTACCGGCATTCCCAAAGGGTCGCCGTAGCCGGTAAAGAGGGCCAGCACTTCAGTGCATTAATTCATAATGGAAAATGTACCCAGCTGGAGGCCGATTCGCTCTCTTCTTGGTAACTGAACTCAGGAATTTAGAACTCACAGTGTACAGGGCATTGGGCATGGCTATTCCCTCCTTTTTTCTTCTTAATGAGATCTCTCTCTCTCTGTCTCTGTCTCTCTCTCTCTCTGTCTCTCTCTTTCTCGTTGGGTGGTTTGCTCCATTAGATTGTTACACTAATGTCATGCACTTCCAGAATTTGACAATCAGCTCTCCTCTCTTTGCTTCCTTCAATCAACCCGCCTTTTCCGAGGGCCTCCACTGAGGGGTCCTGCACCAGTGATGACTGGTGACCTCCTGCCCATCTCCCCCGTCACCAAGGGGCTTCGCACAGAGAGATTTTATGGTATCGGGAGGAAGATTTGTAAACTTGATATGCAAGTTACTTCTTTTTACAATTCACACTAAAGAATATTATTATTCTGTCTTTTCCACAATAAAGAAAAGTAAATAATGATTAGATGTTATAAGTCATGTTTAACTTTTTTTTTTTAACCCAATAGGGGTATTTTTGTTATTTAATATTTCTTTGGACATAGCTCAAAGGCCTATGTGAAGTCGTAGAATTTGGTGCCCAGAAGGGACCTCAGAGATCACACGAGGGATGGAGGCCCTGAGTGCGTGGTTGCCTCCCATTTCCTTGGCTCAGTCCAGATGTTACCGTTGCCATTTTTACCTGAAGTATCCTGTGGCTGAGAGACTGATTCTTTGTTCAAAAGCAGCTTTTACCTGCAGGATGAGCATAATCAGTTAAAATAAAATAAATATACCATCTAACAGGTGAAAATAAAAATATTCAAAATAAAACTGTGTGTCAAAATTGACATGTGATCATTGCTGGTGCTTTGTTACCAATAAAAGGACTAACTCGTCATGCTTTATATTTTTTCCTCTCAGCTGGTACACTAACAATTCCTTCTGATTTGAGTTCAGAGGTAAGAAATAAAATGGAATCCTGCTGCCCATCCATGATGTACAGGCTTAGTTACAAGGTATTAGTGCTTCATATCTAAATGTCAGCACTCTAGTAGTGTATGTGCAAATGTGAGATAATTGTGCTAAAGAAATAGTATATAAGGCAGTGATGGCAAACCTATGACACGCGTGTCAGAGGTGACACGCGAACTCATTTTTTTGGTTGATTTTTCTTTGTTAAATGGCATTTAAATATATAAAATAAATATCAAAAATAGAAGTCTTTGTTTTACTATGGTTGCAAAGATCAAAAAATTTCTATATGTGACATGGCACCAGAGTTAAGTTAGGGTTTTTCAAAATGCTGACACGCTGAGCTCAAAAGGTTCGCCATCACTGTAAAGTTGGATTAAACAAATCATTTCCCTTGAGACTTATTCAATGACAATACTCCACACCTGGTGTATGTGTGTGTGTGTGTGTGTGTGTGTGTGTGTATAATAACCTGATCTGAAGGCTCAGTCTGGGTCAGGCCTTCTGGGTACTCTTCATACACTTCCATTCCTCTTCTCAGGGATGCTGTTCCCCGGGCGCTCTCTCCATACATACCTGGTAAACATCATGGAACAGCGTCTCAGCCTTTGAGGCTCTTGCCCTTGGGTATAAACCAACTCAGAAGAACTGTCGCTACGAGCTCCAGTTGTGTGCTGTCATGGTGTTCTGGGCACTGGTGTGGATTTCCTCATTTGTAGTAATGGAGTGGAACACTTACCCAGTCTTCCCAGGAACCTTCTGGATTTTTCTTAATGATGGGCTCAAGGCGTTTCAGAAGGATCTGACAAGCATTCTTGGAGGAGTAAAGAAGGGCATTCCCATTAGAGAAGAGCCCAGGGGTCAGGACTTGCATGGAAGGAGATGAATGGATAACTGATTAGGTCAGTGAATACTATGGAGTGCCTGATACGGGCACATTGGGGACACAGAGCCGGTAACAACACAGCCCCTGACTTTGAGAGGAGCGTCCGTTACTGGAGGGCCTTTCCCTTCCTGCTTCACTTCCTGTGAGAACACAGGCTCAGCTGAACTTCTCCTCTCAGGTCCCCTTTCTAAATATATTTATGTGCTTAATTCCTTCTTCTCTTTTTCTACATTTTTGACTTGTACCTTCTTTTGTATCTTCTAGCCATTAAAATAAACAAAACAAAACATCTTATTTTCATTCAAATTTGTGCTTTCCAATCTCCAACAATGACATGCCAATATCCGCCTGGGCCTGAAACATTATTCAACTCTCTGTCCATCCGTCTGCCTGATCACCCATCCACATCAAAGTACTGCAATGGCGGCCTTTGCTTTGGGTGTGAAGTGAAAAAATAATTGAGTTTGTTTTTTATAATAACCTGATCTACAAAGTTTCTGATACTCAGAACTGAAACCTAAAACTCAGTATCCTAGAACAGTGATTTTCACCCTATTTTATCTCCTGGCACACATACACTAATTACTAAAATTCTGCAGTACACCTCCAATTTTTTTCTGCAATGACAAAAACAATAGGTATAATTTTGATTCACTCACACCAGATGGCTATTGTTGTGTTGTCATTTTTTTAATTTGACAAGCTAAGCTCAGTGTCTCTAAATAGTCAGGTATTTCATGTTTTTAGAAATCTTGCGGCCTAGCAGTTGAAAATCGCTGTCCTAGATGAATTAACACTTAGTTTGGACTGACAACTTCCATACACTTTGAGCTATTCCTGACTTGTGTTTGATTCTACCCAATATTGGATCTCATGAATTTGAGGTTTCCCAGACATTTGTTCTGAATAAAAATCTCTGGTTTTTGAGCCCCTCTCAGGGTGGCCTCACAGAGGTAAAATGGATTGAAAAGTGCTTCATCTTGGTAGCTTAAGTGCAGTGTCCTGGCACTGAGGGAATATGCCTTCCCACAACATTCCAATAGAAAAAGGGGGCAGTTTATAACAGGAACATGACAGAAGGACAGGCAACCAGATATTTGAATGAAGGAATGTGAAGTCATGGTTCTATTCAGAAAAATCAAAAATTATACACCCGTTAGAAAGCAAGTACAAACAAAAAGGATGAGTACTCTGGTAGGACTCCACTGATGTAGATGCTTTAATTGTACCCTGTTTACCTGGCTGGAGTCCTATCTGCCTCCCTGCCTACAAGACCTTATTGGTGCCAGGGGAAACGTGCACAGCTCTGCACAACTTGGTTCCCAGATTTCTTCTTTCTGTGTCTTCGAGGGACAGAGACTGCCTCTGTACCAGAACCCAGGCTCCCCTTCTTCCATAGTTGCTGGGCGTGTGGTTTCCCACTGCTCTACCTTCTCCCACCTCCCCTGCAGTGAGCTGTGGCCTGAGACCGGTTCTGCTAATGGATGGCGAGTGGAAATGACTTGCATCGCTGCCAGATCTGGCCTCCATGCTCTCCCTCCCTGGCTCATTGGCCAATGACGCTCAGGGCAGCCTTGAAAGTCACATGTTAGAGATGGAGGAATTGCCATCAATCTGGGTGCTTGAATGAGTGAACACACCCCCTGACTCTTCAGCGTACAAGAAAGGGACATTGTTGTGTTTTAGCCATTATGTTCTGGGTCTATCTGTCACCTCCATTTAGTCTACTCCAACTAACACACTCTCTGACACTGGCTAGCCTGAGCCTGAGTTTAGTGACTCAAATGGCATCTCTGAAGCCAGCCACTTGTGCCTGTATCCAGCTAAGAAAACCGGAGATGTGGTACAAGTACCCAAGGAAAGACAGACAGACAGACAGATAGCAGCAGCAAGCACCTGCACGGCTCTGCCATTGACATCTGAACCGATGGAGGCAGCTGTAGCAATTGTATTAGGCACCGTAGCTGTACTTGTCTCACAGATGTGCATGTAAGACATGGGTATTTTTAATTCACGGCTGGCCACCTATGAGAAAAAGACATATTTTCAAGTTCAGCAAGGTGTTCTATGAAGATTTGAGTCATCATTTTTCTTAATAAAAATGACTATTTTTAATATGTTCGTGATACCCTTTAAAGCATAAATCTCATGACATGTGCCTACAGGGCTGGACAGCGACAGGACAGGCAACTGCTGGGCTGGACAATCCCATGACAGGTAGCCACCCGGCCAGGCATTATCTCAAGAGGCAGCCAGTATCGTGAGAGGCAGCAATGGGGGCCGAACTACGTTGTGACTGCCTGTCTTGACGTACCTGATAGGTGATAATAATAATAAGGGAGAGAATACAATATGGTTTCAAATGGGAGGATTTAAAGGAGCCTCCAGACCACACTCAGGTCAGTGGGTGTCAACTGACCAACCACCAACTGGGAACAAGACTTAGAAATTGCAGCTCTTTCTTGGAACCCTGTCAGGGCCTCACTGTTCATGGCCCTCACCCACATCTTGTCTCACCTCTCCTCCCTTCCCTTGATGACAAAAAAGATGCCTGAATTCTGGGCTCTCTTAAGATGAATTTGCAGAAGAAGAAAAAAAAAAAGGAAAAGAAAAGACAGCTTTGTAGAAGCTGTAAGGCACCCCCATCTTCTTGAGCGGGGCCTTCTCGATCAATACACATTTCTTTACTTAAAACTCTGATGTTCTGACTATTAACTTTTTTTTAAACACCCTGGCACATGCACCTTGTACCAGTAACAGGAGGGGGATGGGGCTGAAAGCCACCAGAATTGAGGAGTCCTTCAATTGGAATGTGGGAGGTGTATTCCAAAGCAGCTAAGGGGATGGATAGTCAAAAGCTGCAGATATGCACTCCAACAATCTAATGTATTTGTCATACAGTTAAATTTATTTAAAGAATTAATTTTTTCTCCTGGAGTCACATCTTCCTATTTTGTATGTAGGCATGTGTGTGTTAAAGTATGCTTTAAAAATGATAGGAGAATGACATTGATGAAATACTCATCCTTACTTGTCAAAATAATATCCTAATATTGTCCAAACTTTAAAACTTATGCATGCTGGTCTCAAATAGGAAAAGCGAGGAACTACTCTATGAAGCCTGCATGGCACACCCAGCGCAATGCCCCAGGGGCTCAACGCCTCCGTCCATGAGCCCTGGCCAAGCTTCAGGAGTATTTGCACGCGCGTGCGTGTGATTTCCACCACCTCAGCCATTTTATTTGATATGTAAGAAGTTTTTCAACTAAATAGTCAAGATCTTAGGGTTTGAGTTCAGGGAGTTGTCCCTTACCCTAAAATTAGTGCCGAATGTCAGTCATATCAACAATGAATGAGATCAATGACTTCAGTTTATTGATCTTACCTGTAGCATTTTGGTGTGAATACCTTGTCCCAGTTCGTTGCCTCCGTGTGTGACCAATACAGACCCGTCTGTGTAGATGTGAACCAGTGCAGCTGCCTAGAAAAACAACCCGAAGACACAGCTCAGGGCCAGTTTAGTGAGGCTCAGTAGAAGAAATGGGGTAGAGAAACGCCAGTCTCGTGGAGAGGGGAGGGTCAGAGGCAAGCTCTCCTGGTGGGGTTATGAGGCCTAGTTCTGTTTTGTGCAAAAGTCACCTGGAAAGACAGTCTTAGTTAGGGACCTGGTTTTAATAGGAGCCCCTTGGGATACTCAGGAGTTGTGGGCATTGTTTGAAAGTCACTCTCCTGCTTAAAATCTCTGGCAAACCACTCAACTGGTGAATTAAACATTTGTAAGTACACGCACGTGTTATGTGCTTGCTCTAGATATATAACCATGAATAAGATGTGCTTCCTCTGGCAGCTCAGTGCAGTGGGGGGCAGGCTGGAAAGCAGGCCATTAGAATGCAGAATGAGTTGTGAGATAAATGGTGTGCCTTGGGGCCCCAGAGACCTGGGAAGACAGACCCAGCTGCTTCTGCAGAGCCAGGGAAGGGTTCCCCACAGGGACACTGAATGGTATCATGAAAGGGAGAACAGTTTGCCCCTTGGGCAAGGTGGGCAAAAACTCCCCATTGTCTGCTCCTTGTTATTATATGAGGCCCTTTGGGCTTCGGTCTCTTTTCCCACTTCATCCCTGTCTTTTCCTACCTTTCCTCTAAGCCTGACATTACCCCTGTTCCTGCCTGACCTGCACTGCTCTCTCCCTGGCTTGCTCCCCAGCCTTCAACACCCTCCACCCCTGTGGTCTCTATTCTGTTAGAACTTCTGTGAACACTCCTCTTTCCTCTCCAGGAAGGATCCGTTACCCCCTTCTCTGCACCTACTCTTATAGGGGTGTACTGAGTTAGGTAGCGTCCCCTGTAAATCCCTGTCCCTTTAGGACACCAGAAAGCAACCTTATTTGTAAGTAGTCTTTGCAGATGCAATTAGATGAGATGAGGCACGGCAGGCTTCTTCCCCGGGGCCTCCCGAAGGAGCATGGCACTGCCAACATCTGGATTTTTAACATCCAGCCTCCAGAACCGTGAAGGAATGCGTGTGTTGTTTGAAGCCACTCAGTTTGCGGTACTTTGTTATTGAGGCCACAGGAAACGAATACCGGGGTGACAGGGAGTCTCCGCGAAGAGGGGCACCTAGTCTTTTTCATCTTTGTGTCCTGAAGGGAACTCTGAGTGGATCTGAGTCACTGAGACACTGAAAAAGGTGTTTGTTAAGCTGGATGGATGGATAGCGATGTGGTATTTTTCCTTTGAGGAGAAGAGGGAGGGGGAGGAGGAGGAGGAGGAAGTAGGACTTCTGTCTCTTCTGTCTGGAGATGCCTGGGCCCCGGATGGCTTGGAGGGATTCCAGGCACCAAAGCTTGTAAGTTCTAATAATAGTATTTCTTCAGCGTGGCCTTCTGATCCCCTGCGAGGACATGCTACTCCTGCCGGTTTAGGGAGTAGGTGTCCAGCTTTCTGAGTCATCAGCTGACCTGGAATAACACACCTCAGCTCCTAGCCTGGTGTGCCTTGAGCACATCAATTTGGAACTCTGTGGGGAAGCTGGAGGTCTTGCAAAGGGACACTTTGCTGGATTTAAAGCATTTTTTTTGTGTGTGGTGAGATGAGAAGTTGGCAGAAATTAGGCCGTGGTTTAGGTGAGGGGCAGCCATAAAGGTGAGGGGAGCTGTGGTATAATACAAACAAATATGTGGTCGTTGCCCCTGGTTTTTGACACAGTTCCTAAAACCCATGGAATTTGCTGTGCTTTATATGCTAATGAGATGACTCTTGGGGGCGACCTATCTAGCTGGGGCGGGGCAGGCAGGTTGCCAGAGAATCCAACCACTGGGAGAGTCACATCTCTCAGCCCCACTCCCTGACCTCCAGGGTGGTGTGAGACTAGAGATTGATTTCATTCCCCGATGGCCGATCATTTACTCAAGTGTATCCAGGTAATGAGATTTCTGGGAGCTTCCGGGTCGGAGAACACATCCAAGAGCAGGTGGGCCCCATGGAGGAGGGAGAGGACATGGCAGCCTCATGCCTCCTCTCCCATGCATCTCTTCCATTCGTCTGTTTTTGGGTTGTATCACTTAGAATAAATTTGCAGTAATCATAAGCAAAGTGCTTTCCTGAGTCCTGTGAGTTGACCTAGTGAATAATCAAACCTGAGGGGGTGGGTAGAGGAAACCCCCAAATTTGTAGTTGGCTGGGCAGAAGTGCCGGTAGCCTGAGCACCCCATTGTGCTGGTGTCTGAAATTGGGGAGGTCTTGTGGGACTCGGCCTTTGACCTATGCACTAAGTCTGGGTAGTTAGTGTCAGAATGGAAATGGATTGTTGGACACCCAGCTGATGTTGGAGAATTGGTGTAGAAAAGACACATTTGGCTTCACATGTGATATCACTTAGAATAAATTTGCAGTAATCATAAGCAAAGTGCTTTCCTGAGTCCTGTGAGTTGACCTAGTGAATAATCAAACCTGAGGGGGTGGGTAGAGGAAACCCCCAAATTTGTAGTTGGCTGGGCAGAAGTGCCGGTAGCCTGAGCACCCCATTGTGCTGGTGTCTGAAATTGGGGCGGTCTTGTGGGACTCGGCCTTTGACCTAGGCACTAAGTCTGGGTAGTTAGTGTTAGAATGGAAATGGATTGTTGGACACCCGGCTGATGTTGGAGAATTGGTGTAGAAAAGACACATTTGGCTTCACATGTGATATCCAGGATCTCTTATGCCTTAGCTGTTGATTCAGTCAGGCTTGCAGACAATTAACCGTCATGCATCTCTGTATAGAATGGGCACATCAGATCTGAACAGGACTGTGACCAGGAGTCGGGGAGTCTCATTCTACACCAGAGGAGCCGCAGGCCTGAGAGATGTGTCAAATCTCCTGGGTGTGGGGGTGGACTGTCCTGATAACTACATGGTGTTCCAGGAACCCTGCCAATGCTGTACAGTTATTATCTCATTGAATTCTCATCGATCCTAAGAGAAAGGATTATTATTCTCAGTTTATAATTGAGGAAGCGGAGGCTCAGAGAGGTTAAACATCACACAGCCAGTAAGTGGCAGGGCCAACGATTTCTGGGGTCTGCCTGATTCAAGTTGATCAGGGATGTGGGGCACTTGGTTTATTATCTAAGAAAGATTTTCTTTGACAGGGAAGCTTTTGTAGTGTGTGTGTGTGTGTGTGTGTGTGTGTGTGTGTGTGTGTGTGTGTCTTGGCTGCCAATAGTTGGGTGTAAGTGGAAGAATGTTATCAGTGGTATATACATAAGGGAGATCTCCTGCATTTTTAGATTTATATTTAGACATAGTGTGTGTAAGATTTTTCTGCTTTGGATGGACCATCCCGAGATGCAAGTCTTCCCCAGTTTTCTAAACAGCTTTCCTGTATGTGGCCCACTGGGCTTGCTGGGAAGACCCAGTACCAGGCCTCGTGCTATTTAATGGACTCACCTGTATGCCGCCCTTCCTCCTCCCTTCTGGAGAGGGCCTCTGAATGACTTGCCTCTTCCTTTTGCAAACCGATCTGGGAGGATTTTGGGCCCCACCCCCCTTTCCCCATCAGAATTGACAGGTTCCTGGGAGAGGTGGCTTGAAACAAATAGCTGGTCAGGGCAACGTGGAATGACTTCCCTGCCTAAGACTTAGGGTGCACCAGGAATGCTGTGGGGTCTGGGGTGCAGGCCAGGAGCAGCCCCATTCCTGCCCAAGCCTGTGGCCCTTGAGCTTAGAAAGCACAGCCCCGCAGGCCCCGTGGGCTCCTGCTCCCTTTTTGAATAGGGGTTCAGTGGGGCAGTCAGGACTCCATCTTGGCAGTCCCCCAGCTGCAGGTCTCATGCTTGCCAATGCTGCTGTCTGCCGTGGAGGCGCTTCTCTACTGCACTGTGGAGTAAGTGCTTGCAGATGGGTGCTGCTAAGGCGAGGGGCTCAGCGCCCTGGGAAAGGTGACACTCCGGCAAAGTCAGCACAAGCTGATCAATCGGGCCAGGAGCGTGTCTGACACAGGTAGGACCTTACCTGATGGTAGCTAGTGGCACCAAAGCCGACTGAAAACTTCATGGGGATAATGGCAAGTCCTTTCTTCTTCCAGTAATTCTTCTTATTAAATGCTTCCACTTGCTTTCTTCTGCTGCCAAAGGAAGACTTGTCCAGACATTCGTCCCAACATCGTATCAGGTTCTCGGGGCTGAAGGCTTGTTTGTAGATGGTTTTATCCACAGTTTTGTACATGTTTTTCTCCCTAACCTGACGTAGGAGGAAAATGGAATCGATAGTTACGGCAAGTCGGAAACTGACTACAGCATATATTGAGGAAATGAGATTGAAATGTAAAAAAGCAGGCTGGGGTCTGATGGGGTATATGAAGAGCAGAAAGTGTTATCAACTCTGACCTCAACTTCCAGGAGCTGCCCCTGTCTGACTAGCATGTTGGATAAACTGTGCACCTTCTAGGATATTGCGCAAAATAATGTTTTCGGAGAGCATCCTTTTGGCAGTATCTCTCAAGAGTTTTCAAGTGCGCTGGCAATTTCACTTCTGTAAATTTACCCTCTACCTAGCAGGGCAAAGATATACCCTCGAGACATCTGCACCAAGATGTGTATAGCAACAGCATTTTAATAGCCAAGGATGGGTAACGAGCTGAACGTGCACCAGTAGTGGAATGGCTAAGCAAATGACGGCACATCCCTGTTACATAGCACTATTCAGTCTTGAAAAAGAAGGAAGGTCATTCTATTGCCACAGGAAGATGGCCACAGCCTATTGTCAAGGAGAAAAAAGCAGAGTGCAGAATAATGTGTTTATTATGGCCCCATTTTGGTAAACCACTGTATATGTGCATGTATAAACACATGGCAATGATGATGTATGTATGTATGTATGAATACAGATGGGTGGATACCCATAGAGAAAGGGCTAGGACTATAAATATGGAAATGAGGACCATGGTTACCGTTAACCAACAGGGATGGAGGGATCAAAAAGGGTATGCTCAGTTTTTACTTTAATGACTTCAGTGGGGTTTAAAGGTTAAAAAGAGTAATTATCTTTGCACAAGTTTTAAAAAGAAGGAAAAAGAGAAATCTTTGTACAAGAAGGGTGGAAGATAAGAGGAGGGAGGTGAATTCTTTTAGGTAGCCCTGAATATATTTTGAATTTTGAGCCCGAGCTAATTTGAGTGGTACTAGGGTATTTCCCTAGGTAGCTGGTTCCCTACTCATCTGATTCTTCAGCAACCTTGGCTGTGACCTTGATCAAAACCTTACCTTCTCTGGCAGAAGGCCACATTTGGCTGCCACAGCTGTGATGCAAGATTCTGTTACCAGGGTTCCTTGTGGGAAGCCGTATCCGCGAAAGGCCGTGTTGGATGGTAAGTTGGTCATACAGGCACGGCCCCGGAACCTGAGGTTTCGGACTTTATATGCATTTTCCAGTTTTAGTACAAGGAATTCTGTTACCTAAAATAATAGAAGGTATTCACATATATTGGATAACATTTTCCTCTTTTCTCTAAAAGTCAAGAACACAGAGTTGAGCTGCTGTGGAACCTGGTTAAGTACTTGAGGAAGCGTGTTCAGTAAAGACTCATCTAGAAGTTCTGGGTTCTATTCACGACCAAGGTCACTGGTGTGTGATGCACGCACCTGCTCCGAGTCGTCCAGTGTGCACCCTCCGTTAATGAAGCACTCAATGTCTAGAGCTTTGATCCGCCCGTTGTTCATGAATCCCACCTGTCAGCAAATGATGGACATTTTACATGATTAATGTCCATGCCAACTTGGAGCCACAGCCCAGCTCCACTGTTGGGCAGGACTGAAGACAGACTCTGCTTGTGTTTGCTCTGTGGTGTCCCCACCTGGCTATTCCCCTGGCTTTCAGCACTTGGCTGACAAAGGCCTCCTCTGACCTGAATTTTGCTGAGCCCTTTCCTTTCAACCTGCAATTTTCTGGCTTCACCGTCATCATGGAATTCTAAAGTTTTTGCTGATCTCCAGACATGTAATTGCTACCCTCTTCTTCCTTATTCTTGGAAGATTCTCCACTTTTTACTGGCATTCCTTCTGAGTTAGCCCGTGGTTTCTGCCCCGTGGAAAAGTTTCTGGAATTTCAGAGTTCGATGGGATGAATGGCAGTGCATCTCGTTGCAGGAAAGCGTCGGAAGCCAGGGCTGGAAATGGTCCCTGGCCTGACGGCGGTTGCGCTGAGCTGTGGAGCGCTTTGCAACTGGTTAGGTAACAAATGTGAGCTCGTGTTGCTGTGCTTCCTGGGTGGGACTCACAGAGGCACCTGGTGTTTTCCTGAAGTCACCACTCCCCTCCCACCATGGGACCAATCTGCCTGTAGAGCCCAGATTGAAAAGAGAAATTCCCACGCCCTGCTGTAGTTCTACCAAAAAGACTGGCTCTGGTTGGTGTCTGTCTTCTGAAGACCCGGGGACAAATACAAGTGATGAAACCGTGCAACTCTCTGGTTATCATCATCTGCTCCAAGGGAAGTGTTGGCTAATAAACCAGAGCAGTGAGGACATGTGGGAAAACCGCCACTTCAGAATTTATGGCAAGTTTGACAAAGGCTAGGCTGCAGCGTACCTTTAACTTTTCCTGAAGAAAGCATTGCCAAGCAAAGACAGCAGAGAGAATTCTTCAGCTGTTTAATATAAACTTTTGAAGAATTTTGGAAGAATCTGTCACACATAAGTATCTGCTCTACTAATTTACTAGTAGTTCCAAGTAAACAAGCAAACCTTTGTTAGCTAAGTTTAATGAGGATATATATATATATATACATGTATACACATACACACATATTATTATATTGGAAGTACAATTATATTTCTTTAAAAATAAAATAAAATTTGGATTTTTAAAATAGTCTAATGATTTCCCTCTTTTATATTATGTTTTATATTATTATAAATACGAAAATATTTGCTGTCTAAATCCTCTTAATAGGCACTAGTACTAAAAGTGTCTCACAACTAATATAAATAAATTTTGATTTATAATTCAGGCCAAACCCAAAGGACTCAGCAACTACCTTAATACTAATTGCCACAATCCCAGGATGTGTCTCTACATTGCTCTTGGTACTAGAAGATAATAATATCTGTATTAATTTCTGTGCATTTGAAGGCAAATCCAAAGTTTAACTGCCAACTATGGTTTATTTCTCTCTAATTATATAAGTTACTAATGCCAATGGAAGAGATAAAATTGTGAAAAGCCATTGTTTTAGTAATGACAAAAAATATAGCAATTTAGTAATCTCAGGCAATGACAAAATTAGATATGAAATTTAACTATATGTACGCTATGAGCAATTGCCAAATAAAGCATATTTGATAGGGAAATATTACATTAGAACTGTCTAAAGAACTCAAGCACAAATTTGAAAAGTAGTATTGATGTCAATAAGTATTTTTAATAGTGTTTATGCTACAATTTCATAGAAATGCAATGAATGTGGTTTGAAACAATTTAAAATTATTTCACTTGTTAGTGAATTATTTTTTCCTATTTGCAAATAATTTTTATGACACTTTCATAACCACTTAGTGGAAACACTTGTAAAGTGAAGTTTAGTATAACAATGTTTGTAGCTTCTTTCAGGTTTTTGTCACTGAGGAAACATTAGCATTTTTATTCATGTATTTTTATTATTCAACTTCATAATTCTACACTAGATTTATTAGAAGTTCCTCACAAAAATGTTATGAGTATTCAAATACACAGCATCCTCGCTTAATATTTTAGATGCTAAGATTATTGTTTTTAGAATTCAACAAAATCAAAACAATAGAAGAGAATAAAACCGTTCAAATAGAATGAGGTATTTTAATAATTTCATCTTTAATACTCACTTTATATTTTCCAAATAATGGGTGTCTTCCCCCAGTTATTAACATGTCATCTTCACGATCAAGAACAAGACGAACAGGGTGACCAGTTCTAAAGGACAACAAATCTTCGTCACAGTCTGCATCCCACCCATCCATCCACCATCTACTCACCTAGTATCCATCCACCTATTTATCCATCCCCTCGTTTAACTATATATCCACCCATCCATCTATCTACCTTTCTACCCATCCATCCTCTACCTGCCCTCCAATCCATCTTATCCAAACATTCATTTAACCATCCACCCATTCCATATATATTCATTGAGTGCATACACTGTGTGAAGCATTGATCTAATGTACAACTAAATTACTATTGTCTCCGTGGTCTATAATTAAGATCTAGCTAAAGTGATTAATGTCACATGGCTGTTCACTTGTGTTGTTATGGCTTTAAATTTGATAATCATCCACATCCAGTCATTTTTGCATATCCCCACCTCTAGTAACAAAGGAGAAAGAGTGAGAACAGATAAATGCAAACTTAACAACACAACTGCAAGCAAAGACCAACACTTGTCTTAGGATGTGTCAGGATTTGGATCTTCATTTTCTTTCTTTCTTTTTTTAAATATACCTTTATTGATTTCAGAGAGGAAGGAAGCGGGAAAGAGAGATAGAAACATCAATGATGAGAGAGAATCATTGATTGGCTGCCTCCTGGACATCCTCCCACTGGGGATAAAGCCCACAACCCAGGCATGTGCCCTTGACTGGAATCAAACCTGGGACTCTTCAGTCCGCAGGCTGATGCTCTATCCACTGAGCCACACCAGCCAGGGCTGGATCTTCATTTTCACTGGGACTGCCCTGATGTTGGCCAAGTTGGACCTTTGGGTAGCTAGGAGCTTCAGCCTTTCTGTGTCTCAGGGGCAGAAGCTCCCAGACTTTGGAGTGTAGAAGAATCCTCTGGAGTGCTAGTGAAATGCAGATTCCTGAGCCTTAGCACTTTAGCAATAGGTTGGGGAGGGGCCCTAGAATCTGCATTTCCCTCAGCGATTTTGATGCAGTGTCTTTAGGTACATGTTGAAAACCATAATTCTAGTGTAGGGTTTCCTTGTCTTTTTTAATGGTGAGGACCACTTGGAGCATCAGTTAAATGTTCAATTTCTGGGTTCATTTCCTGGTGATTTTGATTCTGTGGGTCTGGAATAGGGAGGCAGAAATTTCTATGAGCTGAGGAAAATCTTATTACCAGCAATTTGGGAGCACTCCTCTGGGGACCACTTAACACAAGGCAAGAGTATGCTAAGGCAGGGTTGTTTAAGATAGTGTTTCCCACAGTTGGCAGTAGAACCACTGGGAAGGCTTTCAAAAAATGTTTTTATTGATGAGAGAGAGAGAGAGAGAGATACATCAATGGCTTGCCTCCCATATGCATCCTGACCTATGGGATTAAACCTGTAACCTGAGTATGTGCTGTGACCAGGAATTGAACCCACAACCTCTTGGTGTATGAGACAATGCTCCAACCAACCAACTGAATCACCCAGCCAGGGAGGAAAGTTTAAAAAAATATATAATAATGGTTGGGTCAGTATGGGGCATCCTAGGCAATTGGATTTAAATATTCCCAAGATGAGTCTAATGTGCAATTATGCTTGAGAAGCCTTAAAGGCACAAAGCCTGGTGGGAATACAACAAATTGGTTCTGCCTTGCTGGGTCCCTGGTGGGTGTGAATAGAGAGAGGTTCATTATGAAAAGAACTGGAGGTGAGATTCAGACCCTGTTTTTTCCTACCTCTCATCACGGAAGGAGACACATACTGAGTGTCTTGGTTCCTAGCTCTGAACTATACAGAAGCTGCTAAAGGACATTTACAGGCTGATTGGAGCTCTGACAAAGTACAAAAAAAAAGAAAAGAAAAAAAGAACACAAACTAGAAAAGCCAACACCGTGCACAGCATGAACAGCAAGCCTTCCATTGAGGTGAGCCGGGGAGCTCTCTTTGAGGATGTCATCTGTCCACTGAACACACATTGAAAAGCCAGCTCTCCCCAGGTGCAGGGAGGGGGCAAAGGGTGGGGTCTTTCCTCCCTCACCCTGCCTGTCTGCAGCTGAGAGTAGGAAGGAAAAGTGAGGGAGCATTCTCCCACTTGGCACTCTACTTGGGTAGTTACTTGCCCCACCCCTAAATGGGTCACCTTCTCTGAAGCTCAGGGTCAGGACAGCCCTCGCCCTGGAGATGTTCAACTAGTAATACCACTTTTCCTTTTTATAGGAAATTAGCATAGTCAAAGTCCTATCTACATATGACTTTTCTAATAACTCCAGGAGGGTGGGCATTATATCTGCAATTAAAAAGAAAAAGAGACAGGAGGCTGAGTTGCCCAAGGGTGGCAGGTGGTTATGACAGAAGCCCAAGTGCCTCTGAGGCCACTGATTGGCCCTCAGCTCTGACATTTTACACCCTTCTGTACCCCCAAGTGCACTTACTTGATGGCACCCACAGCTGCAATAGCTCCGAACACAGCTGATTTTCCTACTTTCCCGCCAAAACCTCCACCCACTCGTTTCACATGACAGGTGATCCTGTTGCTTGGGATGTTTAAAGTAGAAGACACTGTTTTCTGAAAAAGTTAGATATTGGGAAAGTTTTACAAGAATGAAATGGCAAGGAGGACTTTGACTTCCTGAAACACAACATCACTGCAAAATCCATCCACATCTACTGTGTAAAAAAAAAGAAAAAAGACTGACAGTCTGAATGTGTCTTGGGCAGCCCCATTGAGGTCATAAACATGGGCCATTGCCACAGAACACAGCCTTTCCAGTAGAAAAATGGCATTTTCCAGAAGGGAAACTGTCAGAAGAAACCGTCCTGGGTTCTTGTCAGAAGCTGAACTCCGAGACAAATGCCTTAACTCCGTGGTCGGTAAACTGTGGCTTGCGAGCCACATGCAGCTCTTTGGCCCCTTGAGTGTGGCTCTTCCCCAAAATACCACATGTGGGCGCATGTACAGTGCGATTGAAACTTTGTGGCCCATGTGCAGAAGTCGGTTTTCAGCCTGGGCTAGTCTATTTTGAAGAAAATAGGGGAGTTTGCTGGCTTTTTATTAAGAAAATAAAATATTTCTTAATTAAGATATTTGGCTTTGTTGACTGATGTGTTTGCCGACCACTGCCTTAACTCAATGTTCCAACAAGGTGAGAAACAGCAAACTCTAGACAACCTCCTGAACAAGAAGTATTTGCAGCTAAAACTTGCTGAGTACTATATGGCTGGGGAAATGAAAATATGCTATAAAGTGAAGGGTTTACTCCACAGGTTAACTGTAAT